TCATCCGGAGAAGAGTGAGTTATGGCCCGATACGACAGAGCAATCACTGTTTTCTCGCCGGATGGCCACCTTTTCCAGGTTGAGTACGCTCTCGTAGCCGTGCGCAAGGGTAACGCCGCCGTCGGTGTTCGGGGCACCGATACTATCGTACTTGCCGTCGAGAAAAATCCGCTCCTAAGCTTCAGGATTTCAGGTTTTCCTCTCTCTCGCATTCAAACTCGCAGATCCAGAGAAACAAAATTTCCATTTCTGGAGATTTGTTGTGGATTGAAGGAATTTTTGAATTAATTAGGGTTTAAGGGATGTTTTGGTGAGATGTAATTACTTTTACTGCAGGGTGGTGTTCAGTTAATTGTAGTGCTGAAGATTCAGTTTCGATTGCTGATTTTTGTTATCTGAAACTACTTTTCTCTTAGTATAGTTATTTCTGCAGATATTTCATTGTTGTTGGAGAATGGAATGTTACTTTAACATCTCTAGTGTTGTTTTACTGTAGGTTGTTTCCTAACAGGGAAATGGTTTAAAGCTTATATTTTAGGTCAAGCTGTAAAATAATGGTGATGTGTGCGATTTCAGGACTTCAGAATTTGTGTGAGTTCCAAAAATTATCCTGAAACTATACTTTTACCATTTGGTTTTCAAGGCCAATATGTAAATTTTGAGAGAGATGCTTCACCGTTACCTTCAGAATGAAATTTGGAGATGTTTCTCTGTGGTCCACTTTTGTCGATAACTCTTAATACAAGTAGGATTTTAAAGAATCAGAATACATGTGGGTTTCCTGGAATTTCAGAGGCTTAGACAAGTCTTATGTGACAATACAAAAGATTATAGCTTTTTGTACATGTGAAAAGTAAATGCGTCTAAAATTCTCTAAAAATGACTCGTTTGTTAATATTTTTTTCTGATAATAAGATCACCTTTTCTAGCTGATGCTCGGCTTTTCCATTTAAGCATAAATTTACAACTTTTATCATCGTTTAAAAGTTGATAGATTGTTTATGTAAGTATCCTTTGATCATTGGGTTTGACCCACACACAGGCATTCCATCACTTTACTAGACAGACCCATCCGGCACATTCTCTGCGTGGAAAGCCAATGCTACTGGCAGAAATTCAAACTCTATTAGAGAGTTTCTGGAGAAGAATTACAAGGAGACATCTGGACAGGAAACCATCAAGTTGGCAATCCGTGCTTTGCTGGAGGTGAACATTAATAACCTTACGTGCTTTTGTCAACTTGCTTTTTTTGGGTTTCTTTTTATTTTTTCCAAAAAAAAAAAAACAATGGAAAGAATATTGGGTTCTGATTCTTTTCATGTGTATTTATGTCTGCATTTTTTTATCCTTTTGCACTCTGTCTTTGCTGGTCATGAGGAGTTTCTTACTCGAGAGTTTTATAGGAATTCGTGAGAGTTGATAGTAAAATCAATTATTATTTTAACTTCTTGTGGTAATGTTGACATCAAATCGAAGTAGACTCACGCATGGTTGTACTCCTCAGCCATAAACACTATGCATAAACGTGGATATTCATTAGGTTTTCATTGAAGTAATATAGATCGATGGAAATATTGATTAATTGCATATAGAGTAGGATATTTTCTTTAGTGCGTTCCTTGTGTCTTGTAATTATGTTGCTAGTTGAGTTTGAATATTTTATTTAAAGTAACTTCATCTTATTTGAGCTCAAACATATGTTAAGTACTTGATAGTTTCTTCTAGATTAATGTCCAGCTTTTTCAAAACTAAATTCTTGGTAATACAGTGCTGTACAAAACACTCTTTTTATTTTGCATTAGTCATGGCCAAGCTATAAAGAAGCTCCTGGACCAAAACACCATGCAACAGGACAGCCCAGTATTTGCTGTAACAATCGATGCATCACGTTGTGAAGTACTTTGACTATGAATCTTTTATTTTTACAGCTCAAACCCCAGATATCAGTTAAATAATTGTAAATTAATAACAACACTTGTACTCAGGTTTCATCGAGAAATTTGAAAATGTGTATTATGATTGTGTGGTGTTGAAGCATTGGCTAAAGCGAGAAAGACTTATTGCTCGGTCATGGACTTAGTCGTTACTGATAGAATACAACAAACCATTGTTAAGACACATCCATATAAGATGGTATCATTTTTTCTGATGAGTTAATAATTGGACCTTGATGATTTTGAAGGTTGTGGAGAGCGGAGGAAAGAACATTGAAGTTGTCGTGATGACTAAAGATCACGGTTTACGGCAGCTTGAAGAAGTTGATATTGATGCCATTGTTGCCGAGAGGCTGAGAAAGCTGCTGCTGAGGATGCCAAGAAGACTCCTTCAACCAGAGAAGCTTCATGAATATTCAAATACTTTTATGGTTGGTTACATTTTGTTCTTTAGAGTATTATCAAATTATGATTTGGACATAAAAAGAAGAATTAATTGCCAAAACTATTTAACATTGTTGCGGTGGCTAGTGTTAATTTAACCTCATATCTATGAGCAAAAATTTGTAAAAGTATCTTTATAGTAAGATTTTCTAACCATAAAAATGGGTTGCTAAAGAGGCCAGTTTCAATTTAGGCATCTCGGTGGTGGTGGTTTTATTTTTTGATTTAACTTGATATTTGCTAAAACTCCTTGTATAAGTATCTTGTTCAAGTTTGAATTGTTTGATTATGTGAACTGCAGTGGAGCTTTTGAATCCGTGAAGGTTAAGCAAGATATTATCCTATGGGATCAATTTGGAAATATACTTTGTGAAAACGAATAATCTAGTGTGAAAATATTTGTGGATGAAATAAAAGAAAATAATGTCACAAATCCAAAAAGATTTGATATCTTGTTTGTGATCACATTTTATTTTTTATTTTTTATTTTTAGTTTTTTAATGATAGAGGAAACTCTAATAGAACAAAAAGTAAAGTTTTGTAACTCGAGGAATCAATTTACCCTTATAAAACAAAATACAATGGATGCAACAATTGTAATTTTGTGTACTTACTAAATAATTATGTGATTGTAAACAATCATAAAATATATGACCTTACTATTAGAATTGGTGTTATGCAACAATATTTTGTTGGTTGAACTATTTTCTGTGGGTTGGATTAACCGGAATTGTTTCAACCGGCTTTCAAATGATATTTTGAACTTCGACCCAAGCAAGGACGATCTTCAGCCGCGGTTCACCCAGTGGGACACCCGCTCGAGCTCAGGAGCCAGTCAGCCCTACCCCCCTCCGCCGCCACCACCACCACCTTCGGATCAACAGTGACTTGTCACTGTGCTTTGAATGTTGTTCGCACGTTTTCATTATGTTATATCCTAGTTTTGAATGTTGTTCGCACTTTTGTACTCCAGAACATATTTTTCTCTTACTTTTTGATAGGAACTCATCTTTGAGTGTGAAAAACTCCAAGATTGTTATTTTCGGATTCGTTTGCACTCAGATTTTGACGTTGAACCTTCGTATTAATCGTAAGCTTCTATTTTCGTTTAATTCATGAATGTCATGGCTTTGTTTAATATGAATGTTTGTGTTGAGATCGCTATGAGTAGCTAAATTCTCTAGCTAGGGTTAGGGGATTGTCGTAACAGGTTTCGAAATTTGCGCCACGTTTCTTTCTTGCCAAGAAACTGGTTTCTTGCCAAGAAACTGGTTTCTTGAGCGAAAAACTGGTTTCTTGCCAAGAAACAGGTTTCTTGCCAAGAAACTGGTTTCTTGCCAAGAAACTGGTTTCTTGAGCGAAAAACAGGTTTCTTGCCAAGAAACAGGTTTCTTGCCAAGAAACATGTTTCTTGCCAAGAAACTAGTTTCTTGAGTGAGAAACAGGTTTCTTGCCAAGAAACTGGTTTCTTGAGCGAAAAACTGGTTTCTTGCCAAGAAATTAGTTTCTTGTCAAGAAACCAGTTTCTTGAGCAATCCCCCAAAATCTGTGAAGGTACCTATTCATCGCCGTGGCCGCGACCAAGGAATTCTCCGCGGCCGCGACCACCCTCCGCGACCGCGGGACACATCCGAGGCCGTGATATATTTTGCGCTGAACTTGAAATTTGGGACCCAAAAAATACTCGCCGCGGCCGCAGAACCAAAATTTGTTGTGTACAAATTAATCTTTTTACCGAGTACCGAATCAAAAATTCGTTCCCCGAGTCGATCTCACGAGGAAGGCGGTTCAGAATTTAGAAATGGTATCGATCACACACAAAAGAAAATAAAATCCTAAACACTCTAATCAGATAAGGGGGATGAATAATTATTAACTAAGAAATAAATAACAATGCAAAAATTTAAATCTACCTAAGAGTATGGATGACACGAAGATGGAGAAGCTAGAGAATCGGGGATAATTAATTCAAGTTTTAGCAAAGTCAGGCATTCAATTGTTCAGTTCAAGATTGACACTCTTGCTTATACATCTAGAGGTTCGCTCCCAATAACTTTTCGTAACAAGGGATTGAACATAAACGTACAAGCTCGAGCATACAATACGGGCCAACTATCCCAATCCCAATAACTTTTCGTAACAAGGGACGGGTCATCGACTCGCACGTATGTCAACCGAAAACCTATAGACTATTCAATTACGAAATCATCTACCTCATGTGAGTCTATTTCTACCACTTCTCCCCTTTCGGTTCTGAAAGTCGCTAATTTAACTAGAAGAGTATTAATCGACTAATCACATAGAATCAACAAAACCCTAACTCGACTAATCAATATTCAATTATTTCTAATTGCAAGATCGAAGTGTCACTCTTCGATTATATCAACAAATCAAGCATGAATTCATTAATTCCTAATCAATTCAACCCACACAAGAATGAACAAATCAAAGCCCGACAAATGCATGTTAAACAAGAACAATCATCCCCTATCCCTAGCAATCAGATTCAGCTACGTAAAATCGATTCAACACAATCAATCATTCTCTCCAAATCAACCATTTTCAAGAATTGAATAAAAAGAGAAACTTACAATTAATCCCAAGTTCAAGTGTTGAATTCCAAATACAATCTTAATCCCTAATTATTAACAAGAAGAAAAAAATGGAAAAGAAGGGTGAAGAGAAGAGGAGAAGAGAGGAAGAGAAGAAGAAGAAGAAGGAAGAACAATGGAGGGAGGAGTCAATTTTTGGAGTTAGGGTTCCTCCCCCATCGAGCACCCTCCTCTCCTCTCGTCTACAGTGAAAAAGATGAAGAAAAACTCAGTTTGGGAGTCTTGGGTTCGATCTATTAAGCTTCCCTTTCGAAAATCCGCAGAAATCGCGTCTGTTACAAAACAGACCTTAGCGCCGCTAAGGGGTTAGCGGCGCTAAGCCTTCTTAGCTAGTTGCCTCTGTCCCGCTTAGCTGCCAAAACCCCGCTAACCACACAGGCCTTAACGGCGCTAAGGTCCCCGACAGCTTTGCATGACTTCACGGTTTGGGCTCGTTCGGGCTCGTCTAGTATCGGAATTCAATTCTGCTTTTTCCTACGCGTCGCTAACGAGCCCCTCTTTCTAATGGTGTCAGCTTCCACAAAAGATTCTCGAAAACCTGTTCTCCCGGGGTCGCCAATCTACACACCAAAAATGAAAAGAGAACAGAAAAAGACCGAAAAACAAACGGAAAATACCGCAACACTAAAATGAACGCAAAACACATAATAAATGACAAAAAGATAATAAAACCACCTAAACGACTCAATACGGGGGAAAAAGAAAGGCAAAAAGACACCGAAAAACACAACAAAAATGGGACAAACACACGCGGCCGCGACCACTTATTTTTTTTCATTTATTTTATTCATTCAAAATTTTAGGGACTTCACACACTTCACTTCAATTTTCAATCATCTTAAAAATAACTACAACAAAGGGCCAGTAGAAGACAACACAAGTTGTAGAGTAATGCTCAACATTTTGGACTAAGGCAACACAAGTTGTAGAGTAATGTCCACTTTCGTGGCATCGTGTACAAAATGATTTACTTTGAGAGCTCGAAGAAGGGCCAGTAGAAGGTATGCGGTTTGACCTCGGTCTTCCGGCTT